CTCTCCAGGGACCAGTGAGGCTTTTTTAAGTCTGATGTTGTGAAAGATGACTTCCTGGGGACCCTGGGACTTGCATGCGGCTGCTCTGCTGGGCCCCTGAGACTCTGGAGGCATGTGGGGTTCGACAGCTGGGGAACCAATGAAGCAAAGGAGGAAGGGAGGAGGACACACATGCTGCTAATAAAGTATGCTCAGAGTGGCCTGGTGGCAGGGGCTTGGGGACAGAGGAAAGTTGTTGGGCGGAAACTTCTTTAAGGTTCCCTGAGTCCAAAGGAAGCTAAACCCATCCCTTAGGTCCGTTGTGTATTCTGTACCTGAGGACACAGCACAGGAAAGCCAGGCCCAGGTTTCTGTGAAGATGGGCCCCTCACAGACATGAACAAGGAGGGTTTGTGGTGCTCTGACTAACTCTTGGGACTATGCTGAGCCTGTTCTTAGAGAGACAAAGAAAGAGAAGCCAGAACCAGTGTTGCCTGTGTTTGGACCTCAGAGGAAAGAGGAGCTAGGAGACATTGTCCTGGGGGAGGCCAGCTCTCAGCCCTCACAGGTCCTGCAGTCCTCTCCCCTGAGTACAGCTATGGCTGAGGCTCTGGGAATGTGAAATCATATAGTAGGCGGACTCAGCCCACTGTGGCTTCTTCTCCTACCCTTTGTCACTCCCTCTACCCTAAGAGAGGAAGGGACTACGCAAGAAGCTCTTAGCTCAGATCAGGTGTATGTGGGGCCCAGGGACACCACAGAACAGGAGGAAACTGCTCCTTCTGGTTGGCAGGGCTGCCTCCTTCACCTTCCTGAAAAGGTGACGTCAAAGCCTGCCTGTCAGCCCAAAAGACAGTGTCAAGCGGCAGGTGTGTATGTGTGTGTGATGAAAAATATTAGACGGGACACAAGGGCAGCCAGTAGGGATGTGTGCTGGTCACAGCTGGACTTAAAGAGTTGAGGGGCAGACAGCGCTATCAGACCTTGGCCCAGATACTTCAGAAGGGACAGGTTTAAATGAAAACCACGGAGCCATAGCTGCATCTAGAACTTGGCATGGGTGATAAGACTTTGGAAGCCTCCTCATGCTGCACTGGAGGGAGGGAGGCAGCCAGGCCAGAATCCCAGTGCAAGCGCCTCCCACAGGCAAACTCCCAGGACCCTTCCCCATACTGAGGCCAGGCCAGTGCAGACAGAGTGGAAGGAGACCCAGTCAGAAAGGTGCGGCCAAGCGCTACACTCTTGAGTCCCAGAGCCAAAAAGCAGCAGGCTCCACCAAGCTGCCGCTGACTGGTGTCCCCAGGACAGCAGATGTTCCTGGGAGTCGGAGGCCAAAGACAAGGCGTCTTGAGGGAGCTGCATCCTTGAGGAGAACTCAGCTTTGCTGCCCACAACCCACTGCAAACGCTCAGGATTTTTAGCAAGCACTGACTCACCCACACTGTGGAGCATCATAATTTGTGCCAAAAGAAGGTACAGATGTGGATTTCACCTCTTTGACTGACCTTCCAAACAGAGGTGAAGACAGAATGAGGTACCAACTCTGGTGACTTCCATTTAGGCTTACAGAGTGCCATCAATGAACAAAGGACAATAGATGTGGCTATCCTGAACATTTCAGGGGATAAGAAGGACCTATCTGAGCCTTGAGTGGCCCAGGGCCTTCAGAAGAGGTGGCCAGGCTCTAAATCAGGAGTCAACCTCCACCCTCTTTGCCCCTTTTGTGAATATATTGGGTAGACAGATGATGGCAGAAGGGTAGAAAGGTAATAGTTGGCCCTTGCCCTTGAGGACCCTGACAAGGAGAAGGGAAGGCAGGACCTGTCGAGACCCTGCAGCCTGGTCTAGCATCAAAAGTACAAAAATGCCATAGACAGTGAAAGAAAGGTCACACCCAGCATGGAGAAATCAGGAAGTCTTCATTTTTGGTGTGGAAGGTGGGTGAGTAACAAAGTCCAATGAGCCAATCACTTGTTGACCCTGTGTCAAGGTCAAATAATAAGCCTGAGATTCTATTTCATCGACCAAGCTCAGATTGATGTCCCTTTCCCCTCTCAGTTCCTTGGAAAAACAGGTCTCAATAAAAGCCACATACTATTATTATCCTCCGGAGTAAAGCCAAGAACACAGTTCTGACGTTCCCACCCCCAGCTCTGAGCCAAACCTAAGCATGCCCAGGGACTCGATCCAGACAAGTGCCAGGCCCAACCAGTCCTCAAAGCTCGAGTGGGAAAGCTTTTAATTGGATGCCACTAGCTCTGAATGGACCCTGAAAATACCCATCACTGGACAATTGCCAGACTAGCTCACCACACAGCCCCACGCTTGGCAGAAACAGGGCCAGCTGAGGGATACGTGGAAGTTGCAACGCAACCAAGAGATAGCGTTGCTCCTCCAAAGTCCTCGTTTTCCTTCAAAGCCCAGCCCTGCCCTGACTTCCTTCTCCCATGCCTTTTCAGATTCTTTATGTCTAATTTTATCAATGTCCCCATACCCGAATCTGTCAGGGCTTCTTACTGCCCATGGCGACACCAACCAGGCTGCTGTGTTCCCTGTCTTCACGAACATGCTGCTTTCCCACAAGTCCTGAACTCCTTGTGCAGTGCCGAGCATAGCAGGCTACACAAAGAAAGCTTCATGAATGTTGCTTGGTTAAACCCTACAACCTCCCAACACTAGGGAGGCTGAGACAAGTTCAAGTTCCACCATGAAAATTTAGCGGTCCTATCTCAAGACAAAAAATAAAAATAAAGAAGTGAGAATATGCCTCAGTGTAAGGGCCCTGAGTTCCATTCCTGATACCACAAAACAAACCACACACACACACACACACACACACACACACACACACCCCAACCTCTCCTTTTTGTCTTCATCAGGCCACGAAGAGCTTTTTCTGAGACATCTTATGACAAGTATGCTATAAAGTTCCACGTAAGATCTTTGGGCCTGGGTAGTACCTCCTGTGTGCCAAGGAGGCAGGAACAGCTCTGCTGGGGTCTGTGTGAGCTGAGCCTTCACTCCAGTACCACAATGGGAGACCTGAGATTCTTTCCTCAGGCAGCACTGAGATACTTCAGGAGCCCCCAGCCACTGGAGTCCCACATCAACCTTCCTCTATCACCTTCACTAACCCGCAGATCCAGAAGAACGGCCTTAAGGATTTAAAGGGCTACAAAAACTGCCTCCAAATGCCTTTACCTGGGACACCAGGAAAAGGAGTGCAGGAAGCACACCCAGCACATGGGTGAGCGCGTATGGAAAGGTTCTGTGATGGAAATTTAAAACCCAGAACTGAAAGAAAAATCTCACCTGCAGCCACAAAGAGATTCAGTCTGACTCAGAGGCTTGGAAACTGGTTTCCAAAACAGCAGGGCAAGTGGGCCTGGAAATTTCTGCTGGGGGACCCTCAACTGAATGTCAACCCACACTCACTCTGGGGGAAGAGGGCATGAAACTAGCACAGGAAAGAGCATTCTCCCCTCTACCAACTCGCCCTGGCATGCTAATGGAATCCTTATTTATAGCCAGCAAGTGGGGCCTCACTGTATTGACACAAAGCAGAGCGGCCTCCGAGAAGTTCCCAAGCGTGTCTAAAGTTGGTTCTCAACCTCAGCTTTCTTCTGCACTCTCTTTCCTCACCCCACTGCACCTGCCTTGACCTTCTGTTTATTTCTTTCTTTATAAAGTAAATGCCCCTGGAGCAGCTCTAAGGAACAGCCAGCCAGAGTAAACCTAGACTCTGGCCAGAACCAACCTAAGATGCAGACACACGGCGCATGGCTCTGGGGCTGGAGAGGTGCAAGTCCCTGACTCAGGCTCAGCCTGTCTTGCTCTGTGCAGTGAGTGAGAAGTCCCCCCTTGCAGCCCTGGCAAAAAGCAAGGAAGCTGATGTATGTGTCGTGCCTGCCCCACACCATGTGTGCCCTTCCTGCCACCACCATACATGTTCCCTGAGGCAGCCCCAAAGTCTTCCCTTACAAATATAGTTCCCCTCCCCCAAATCCAGCATCCTCAGAACCCCACTTGACAATCCAAAACCACTTCACTTCCCTGGAGGTAAATGACTGGGCACAGCAAGCCAGAGAAGGCACTGAAGTAAGAGCCCAAAGGTATCACTTTGGTCCCTTTTCGTGGTCCTTGCGCATCCTGTATCCAGCAGAGTGGATGCTCACTAAGCTCAGCTCCAGCAGCAGCATCTCTGAGAGCATCCTCTTCGATTCTAAATAATCTGAACATCAACTCTGAATCAGCTGCTCAATCACCTACCCAAGGAGGCAAGCAGTGTTTGACACAAACACTGACCTGCCAGACCTCCCTTGCCTGTAAGCTGCCCCTCCCAGCTACATTCCTGCTGCCCAAAGCCTAGCCAGGAAGGGAAGTCCTGCTTTGAACTGACCACTCCAATCTCTTCCACTCTTGCTGTGGTGAGTGGACAAGTTCATTAAGCCAGGATGACCTATTAATAATAAGGGCTAGAGGGCTGGCCTGCTAGCTCAGTGGACTAAAGCATTTGCTTAGGCAGAGTACAATGGCCAGGGTTCAATCTCCTGCTGTTCCATGCCAGCCCCACCCTTGGGTACACTGAGATGGTGACTGAGACTGGGCGTGGTGGTGTGCACCTGTAATCCCAGCACTTGGCAGGCTGAAAACAGGAGAATCACTACAAGTCCGATCTACGTAATGAGACCCTGTAGACTCAGATAAAATAAAATAAAATAAAATAAAATAGAATAGAATAGAATAGAATAGAATAAAATAGAATAGAATAGAATAAAACAAAGGCTAATGTTTGCCGAACCTATATGTGCTCAAGACACTACCAATGCCTTAAATTCATTCTTTTGTCACAATTGTCACCACAGCCCTATGAGGTGAGGCCTATAGTTGCCCCATTTTACAGAAGAATAAACTGAGTCTTACTGGCATTAGAGAACTTTCTCCAGGTTATGCCACCCTTACCAGTTGCAGTGAGATGCAAAACCAAGCCTGTCGCCAGCCCCAGCAAGTACCCAACTTACCTGATAGGAAAGGCCGTCCTTCCGGGGCTTGAGGCCAATCTCCTCCATGGATGGGGTGTTCATCATCACCTCAGTCATCTTGGCTGATCTCAGATAGTCAGAGCTGCCAAGAAACCCAGAGCACAATCAACAGGCGCAGGTCCTCACACACTGCTCCTTGCAGGGGCATCACCCCTGGAAGAGCAGGGCAAGTCTGGATGGAGACACGGTACATGAGGGGGCAACAACCACAGCCCCAGCCATGCACACTTGCACCCAGGGGAAATGTCCCACAGCACACATCACGGAGCACCTACCCCAGGGCCCCAACGAAGCCCTCTGTCCGCAGCCCAGCTCTGCCCCCTGATCCTGTACTCTGCAGACCCTTGGACACAGGGTGACCCTGCATTTTCTTTTAAAGGCCAGAACTAGAAAAAAAGATGGTAGTGGGTAGCTGAACCCAAGTGTCTATATTAATACCAACTCAGCCAGGTCTCCTTTTCACCTCTTTACCTAAGAATACAAGTAATCCTCCCATGAATTTCCAAAGAGGAACTGCATATTATTACATAATAAGAATTGCAGGCAAAGCCTCAGGGAGACAAAGTCCAAGTCCTGCTGCCTTCCTGTCTGTCTGTCTGCTGCTCCTTATGGCAAAATGTCCCACTTAAAGCCCCAAGGGTTCAGCTTTTCTGCAAGCTTCACATCTGCCATCCAACCCCCTTCTCCAGCCCCAGCCGCCGCAGCAGCAGCAGCTGCGAGCTCACAGCTTGAAAAACATCCCGTGGATTAAAGCCTTAAGGATACCCGGACACTGATTGCAAAGGAAATTTCCAGAGGGGCCATGCTGGCCCACCAATGGCTGACATGTGAAAGTGCTTTGTACTCGCTAAGCAGGACACAAACGTTCCATTATCCTGCAAAGCCATCGGCATGCTCAGGGTCCTGGGATGGCAAACACATGCCAAATCCAGGTACTAGCTACACACCACCCAAGATTTTCACATTGTGTCTGTGTGTGCAGTTAAAAAAAAAAAAAAGAAGAAGAAGGGAAGTAAGGCAGGCTTGAAAGACATTATTTAAGGCAACAGGAATACCAGAAGCCTCTTCATTTCTCGATTACGACAGAGTAGAAATGGCATTTATTTGGATACAGAAGCAGTAGGCTCTGGTCCAGGCTGTGCCCACTCAAGAGATGCTGCGTGGTCTTAAATAAGTCATATAACCTCTCTGAGCCACAGGTGCCCTGTTTGTCACTAAGATGCTAACAATTCACCTCTCACGGTTATGTGAATGGCTAGTGGCTGGGAAGTGTTGCCAACTATGACATTCTGATCAATAAAATAATGCTAAATTTTAATTTCCCCCCAAAGGGCTCTAATGTCTACCTCACTAAGTTTTAAGGGCTGATGCTCAAAGCTTCCAGCAGCCGTCAAAGCCTGAGCCTTAAGGCATCTGGCAGCTGCCCCACATCACGGAGAGAGATGGAGATGCTCAGAAAAGAAAACAGGGGAGCCTCTGGGGCGGGGGGGGGGGGGATTTTTACTTTGTTTTGCCATTTCAGAGCTAGGCTGGGATGCAAGACCGGAGACTAAGGGGGGGGGGGGATTTTTACTTTGTTTTGCCATTTCAGAGCTAGGCTGGGATGCAAGACCGGAGACTAAGAAAAAAGGTGCTGGGCTTCCGGTCAAGTTTAGGTTCAGGACCTCTAGGGCAGTTCCCTCCAGAGCGGTTGATCCACCCCACAGAAGGGGACTAGAGGAACGCGCAGAAGGCTCTCCAAGGTCTGCGCCTCGTGGAGGGGCGTTGTGTCCTCGATGAGGGCTGTGGCACGGGTCCAAAAAGTTGAAAATTGAAAAGCATGAACTTCCCAGTTCTAGGTTGAGATCGCTCGGCTGAAACCTTGCTTTCTCCCTGGCTGGGCGCCTGCCAGGATCTGGGACCCGGCTCTACAATGCCACACCTGGAGGCACACTCCGGCCGCTCCTCCTCTACCCCGGCCGACGCGCGAGTCCCAGCAGACAGGGGCCTCTCCCTGCATCCTTCCCGGGCAGGAGCAAACCTCTGCCTCCCCCAGCCGGGTCTGGGCTCCCTGTTCCTCCACACCGCGAGGGCGGCTCCTCCCCCGCCCTAGAGCTCACAAAGGCGCATTGGTGCTAGGGGCTTTGTAGAGGGCAGGGTTCGAGAGTCTAAAGCCTGTGCCCTGCTGTCTGTGGGTTAGGTGTGGGGAGAGAGCTCCTTCCTCTCACCCCCAGAGCTCTGCAAAAGCCGCGGCTGCACCAGTTCCACCGCCCCCCCCCCCCCCCCCCACCTCTAGCAGCCGGCCTCGACGCCAGACTTGCATGCAAACAAAAAGAAAAAGGGGAGGGGTTCGAGGAGAGCCAGAGCCCCCACCGCCAGGCAGGGCGTGCGCCTCCTGCAGCCCTCTGCATTCAGGTCTGCCTTACAGGCATTTGGGCGTCCTGGCTCTCTCCCCACGACCACCGCGTACACAGCCTCCAGCCGTCTCTTCAGGAGAGGTTCGGAGTTCACTTCCTTTGTCTGGATGCTCTCGGAACCACTTCCCCCCACCCCCACCTTTGCAACCTTGACGTTGACTCTTAGCAGGGGCTTAGGTAGCAAGGCAGGGCCGGGAGCCCGCGCCTTCAGATGCCTCGCGCCCGGAGCCTGCACCAGCCCACCGGAGCCCCGCAGCCCCGTCCACTAGAGAGGCGCCCGCCACGGGTTCCGGATACTCACCAGTGAATGGGGAAATATACAGACATGAAGTCCTAGAGGAAGGAGGCTGACCCACGCCCTTGTGATTTGGAAAGGGTCACTGCGTCCCGAGTGAAGATAGCACGGGTAATGGGCGTTCGCGGGTCCGCCTTCCAGTGACGGCCCCGCGGACAGAGGCGTCGGATTGCAGACGGCGCGCCCCACTCTCCGCCGAGCTCGCGGTTCCACAAAGAGCCGGGGAAGCCGTATTTATACGGGTGGAGGCGGGGCTTGGCTCCGAGAGGCCCCGCCCCCTCTCATCCACTCCTGGAATAACGTCACCAAAATCATGAATGGCCTCGGTGCTCGCAGCTCAGGCAGGCGGCGGCGGCTCGGGGGCGCGCTCGGCTCTGCGCCCAGAGAGCCTGCTTTGCTGCAGCTTGGGGCCGGCCCCCTCCCCACGACTCACACACACGCACACAGGCGCGCACCAGGGCCGAAGTTCAATGTCAGCGCCGCTTCCTGCTCACAAACGCGTTGGCTTCCGCAGCCCCCTCCCTGCGCATACGCGGGGACTCCAAGGCGACTGCGGTGGGAGTGAGGAGGGCGCCGGGCCCACGCAGGACGTGACCACCCGGCTTAGGATGCGCCGGGGGAGGGCGCACTTCCTCCACGCAGGCCACTGTGCGCCCCGCCCTGCCTGGCACCCGCTGGCTCCCAACCCGCACCTCTAGACCCCTCTGCTGTGGTCATCACCAAATTAATTAGGCCTCTCCCTCAGAATCCTCGCCGGTGGCACCGCGATTGTCCTGTCCATCCTGGGATAACTACTCAAGTCAGAAAGAAGGCTGCAGAGACGCGGAGTTGGGAACCCCACTGCCCACGGGGACCAGTTGGTTTACAATGAACTGGTCTGCAGCCCCGAGATCTGTTTTGCTTGTGGGAAAAAGGATGTGGTGTCTGCTTTTTTTTTTTTTTTCCGTTAGACACACACACGCACACACACATACCACACACACACGCGCGCGCGCGCACACACACACACACACACACGCACACACACGCACACACACGCACATGGTCCTGCGCTGGAAGTAGGGGAAGCGATTTGCGGCACAGAGGCACGCTCCACTATCTTGCCTCCCAGGTCTGTCCAGGGAGTCGCTCTGTGACAGCACAAACAAAGCGTTTCAGATGAGCGATTGGCAAAGGCCAAAAGCCAGCTCCAGAGTCTGTCGGGGCAGCCAAGCTGCGCAGCTTTCAGAACCAGGACCATGGGAATCTGAGCAGGCACCCAGCGCTGCCCCTCTGTGGCCTCTGCTCCAATTACCCACACACAATAGCCTTATAATTTTGACCTTTGTGTGTACAAGGGCTGGGAAAGGAGAAGGGTGGTCTTCCCAACTAAGCAAAGGTAAATCAGTCAGCTCCTCAAGAAGGGCAGTGAATGTATTGAACCCGCGCATATGTGTATAAAATAGGAACTGCAGACCTTCTCTCTGGGAAAAAGATGGTGGGCTAAAAGGTAAGGGTTTCACAGGAATACGAGGAGGTCAGGAGAAGGCATCCTTATAATATTCATCACCCCCCTCAAACCAGCTCCAATAAAAAGAATCACTAAGGATAAATTAAAAGAACATTGCTATTTCCAACCGTTCATTTATACACGGTTGCATAAATGAGTTAAAAGTGCTTTCTAATAAAACATGCTTTCATGATAAGCTGCCCTTCCAAACAGAAAAATTCAGTAGCCTTCCGTCCCTCTGGAGCTAACCCAGGAATCCACTGGGGCTGCAAAGTACCACCTGCATCCTGCTCCTCTGAGGGTGTGTCCCGAGGGAGGGCCATACTTTCCCGTCCGGGTACTAACTGGACACTCTCCAGGAGTGGGGGACCTGTGAGCAGACGATGGGCTGTTTGTGCCTGTTGCTGACAGGGAGAAGCACAGTGTGGCTGTCTGGGGATGACGTGTTGTCAATCAGGGAAGCAAAAGTTGAAGCCAGTGCCTGGAGAGTTGATTTCCAGGCTGGGACTTGTCATGCCCTGGGTAAGCAGGACAGAAGCCTTCTGCCCTCTCCAAGGAGCAATCCCTGGCAAGGCCGGGGAGGAGCGAGGCTGTCACAGCGCACTCACATACAACACGCAGACTTTACATGTGTGTGATCACTGCCTGGGGAAACTTGGAAAACTTAGGAACCCATCCTCTCCCAACACAGTCTGTACCTTGGGTCACAACAGGCTCCTTTGGGAGAAGAGGGTCAGAAGTACAGGAACAGTGAACTAGCCTCTGAGAGATGCCTACACTGGAGGACACTGAGGTAATCACCTGAGGCCTGCTCTTTGGAAACCTTCGAGTAAACGCCTGTTTTAGCTAAATTTCAACTTGGAGTAAATTAGTAAATTAGAGTGGAAAATAAACATTGGGTTGTAACCCCCAAATCTATTCTCTCTTCCTTTCCTCAAATACCTTGGCGGCCTATTTGTTCATTTGGAAAATGGTAGGCTGAAGGGAAGCAGGCATAGGATTTCTCACTAACACTTTGCATAGTGCCTTGCAGTTTTTCAAAATACTGTCATCATCTCAGCTTTCAAAAGAATGTGTTAAGATTAACTTAGCTTCCTTGGAGTCCTGGGTTTACAGATGTACAAGCAGCTACTGCAGTGAGACACACCAAAGGTTACTCGGACACCAAGGCCCAGGGTGGGCCTGGCACTCTTGGGCTGTCATACACCAAGCGTCCCACTGCTAGGTTGCTCTATCACTGCCTTTCCTTCGCTTCTCTAGAGAATGAGAGCATTTAAGCTGAAAATGTTCCTTCCTAATGCCCTAACAGGGAGATAGGTTTCAATACCTTCTGCCCTTGAATAAATGAAGGAACAGCCACACAATCGAATGTGGTTACTTAGAGCCCCATAACCTTAGAGCTGAAAGAGGCCTTCCAAACCACCCAATCCAGTCTCCTCATTTTACAGGTGAGAAGACACTTACGAGATTAAATGGCATGTCCGAGGTCACCGGGCTGTTAAGTGGTGTCTGTGGAACCTGGGCCTTCAGACCACTGGTCAAATGTTCTTTCCACTAACAGCGCAGTGTGCGCTGCCTTTGCCAAGAAGTCAGAAGCAAAGATCAAACTCAAGATCTGGGCTCTAGGACTGGGGAGATAGCTCAGTAGAATAGGCACTTGCCTGGCAAGTACAAGGTCCTGAGTTCAATCCCTGGTACCACAAAATAAATAAATAAATATTAAATTAAATTTAAAAAAAGATCTGGGCTCTAAAACACCTCACTGCATCACCAACATTTACTGAGAATTATCCACAAATACAGATCAGGGAGCTAAATGTGCAGCCAGAGAACTTCTGCCTTTGTCCCAAGGAACCAAAGAGTTGAATTTTAACTCAGCTTCCATAAAAATTTAGGTGACAGACTGGGTACAGTCGCGCACACCTGTAATCCCAGCACTTGGGAGGCTATAAACAGGAGGATCAGTACGAATCTGGTCTACGCAGTAAGACCCTGTAGACCCTGTCCTAAATACAAGAAGAAGAAGAAGAAGAAGAAGAAGAAGAAGAAGAAGAAGAAGAAGAAGAAGAAGAAGAAGAAGAAGAAGAAG